CAAATGATTTTAGTTTTCTCCTGGGAATTCTTTTAGCACAGACTGAGTTACTCTTTCTGAGACAAAACCTAGGTTCTGGAGACAGTCTGCTCATCTCCCAACAGCATGGAGCACGTGTTTGTTTCCCTGTGCTCTATGCTGGCTGTCAGCACTAACTTAGCTGGCCCTGAACCACCAAATACTCCAGTGTTCTCCCTTGCCATCCCCCAGGGCAGCATCATGCTGTCTATATACCACCATCATCATGCTACAATAAGACAACTCTAATTTTCTCAGACTCTTTGCATTAAAATATCACAAAAGGAAAAATAGGAGGAAAAATCCTGCTAAAACAAACCATGGCTCCATGTTCCTTCCTCTTCTACATACATGATGGATAAGCCATGCTAGTCCAATGGATTGTAGCCACAAAGTGTAGGAAAGTAAAGCTAGGGGATTTTGTTGTACTTTTTTGTTTAGTTGGGTTTTTTTTGGTTGATTTTGTCCTGCTTATTTTTTCCAGCATCGGAGTTCTTTGATAGAGTAGTAAAAGAATAATCTGGGCTGTAAGGAATTAAAAAACAAAACAAAACAAAACAAAGCAACCCCCCGTTATAACCCAAAATTAACATTGCCGTGCTTAGTACACCAGGCTCATTGGAAGCTGCTCAGAAGGACCTTTCTGTGATTTTAAATCCTTGACCGTAAAGTGTATGTCCTTGAAGCTCCAGAAAAGCATTTTCTACCTATTTTGGAAACAATAGTTCTGTTATAAACTTCATTTGGAAAGAAATGCTTGGAAATTATTGCCAATGTCCGTGTGTCGTGTGTGTGTCCATGCTGTCCCCCTGTCCCCTGTCCCCCGCTTTTACTTTTAATTCCACAGCCCCAATCACTCTTCTGGAACAGAAGGAGTCCGTTCTAACTTACACACAAGCATGGAACAAAATGTCAGTTTATGTATTTTCTTTATTCTGTTTTCTGGCCATTTGGCATCCAGTCAGAAAATTACTCTAGTATGATGCTCATTGCGTAGCAGCATTTAAGCATCTCATATTTAAATTTCCAAGTTTAAACTACTCACACTTGATCCATCTATGTGAATAGACATAGTCAATCTTAGAAGGCAATTCAACCTATTCTAAGATAAATGCGTAAATTAGCTCAGAAATTTAAGTTTAAACAATTGAACTAAATTAAATTCCTGCCATTGCCCAGTGAGATTTACCTGCCCATTTAAATGCATTGCTAAATTAGCCTTGATAACACAGACCGATGGGAAACAACTGTTTACTACTGCCTTGGGTAATTTTGTTTGACAGCAGGCATCTGATCAAAAAGGAATGGGAGCACAATCCATAGTTATCAATCCCTGGAAGCTGACAACAACAGTGCAGATGACACATCCTGTGATTTACAGCAGCAGTCATTTAAGACTGATAGCAAAACTAATTACCTTTCAAAGCTCAGAGTGTGACGGTTCTACAAGAGCAACAGCTTATGTTGCCATCACTATAACAAATTTAAACCCCTTGACTTCTCAAATACCTTACATCAATTTAGTTAATTAACCATCACCTTTTAATTGTTAATGGATTTTTAATAAATCTAGTCCCCTAAAAAGAGATGTACTGTCATGTAAAAAACAATAATGTATTTAATCATAGCTATATATTTTTAAGAATTGCTTAGCTACTGTTAACGTGTTCCTAAAGTGAACATAATGCTGCTGTGCATGCCTGTGGTTCTCTTGTGGTACATCAGTAAGTCCGCATTTGATATGTGTGTAACAGGTAAAATATCACACAAATTCAGCTTAAATATTTCTTATCCTCTTCAATATTTACTCTACCGTATGTTTGTAGAAAGCAATTTCATCTTTTTCCAGTTCTTGTTTCCTAGGCTAAATTAGAAAGTAATGTTTTTAGTGCTTTACTATATGGTTCTTTGCCTCCGTGATAATCCTGGTTTGCACCTGTTTCACCTGTAATTCATCTTTATTGAGGCAAATATTAATATTCAAGTTACAAATTATTTTCTAGTGTCTTAGAAAGCCATATTAGTACTTTCCTAGAATGATATGCAATGTTTCTCTCACTGTATTTACTTTTTCTGGAGTTGCATTGAAGCATCTGTCTGTCATCATCCTATGTACCAAAATACAGACAATCAATCAGTTCCATTTACACATCACTTCTGATCGATGTTTTCTAAACTTATAAGAACGCAAATGTTAATGACTGGGCACTGTATTTTGAGCTATTCCTACCAATTAAATCCTCAGGGTCATCCAATCCCATGACACCCTGAGCAACTTTATTTCGGTCTTATCAGTCAGAGAACATTCATGTCCAGCTCAGCCCACTGTGAACTCTCTCAACAGCTCATAGACAGTTTATTATTAACACTTCCCTTCATCATTGTATCTCTATTTCCATTTAAAGAATTGACTCCACAAACCAACATACATTTGCTCTATTCTTACACACCTGTCAAAGGAAAGATGTAATGAACGTATATGAGAAAGAGGGGAAGAAGCCAAGCAATGGAAGGAATAGGAATCTCTTCTGAGTCTACAAAATTCTGCTAGGTTTTGAAGTGGTGATTTATTTTAGTGTAATGTTTCATAAAGCTGGTGTTAAGGCTTTTTCACTGCATGCTGTGGGAGAAATGAAAATTAGTATGGAAGCACAAGAGAGCTATCATGCTTCATGTGCTCACAGCTGGAGATCATTGCTTTCCTCATGACACTTAAATAGTGAAGGAGGATTGTTTGTTGTGAAGAGTCCCTGGGGATACAGAATAGTCCATGGAAAATTTCCAGGTGCTGAGAAATGGTACTGGAATTTTCAAACACATTCTAATTTATTGGAAGCATTTCTCCCTTTTTCTAGCTCACAGCATCACAGGTAGCATCCAACCTACCTGATCTTGGTTTAGGTTGAATGCACATCTAAGTAAAAAAGCAGATACTAAAGCAATCAAGAAAGAGGAGGTCCTAACAACTATTGCAAATAGACCTTAAAGGACGGAAAGGGAATGAAGTAAAGTAAATAAGTAGACCATGTTTTCCAGAAAAGGCTGTGGTTAACTAAATATTGCCTGAAACGAACGTTAGGTTTGTGCTACAAGTGCCCATGCTGGGCTTTTTTCATGGTCAAGCGCTGGAGCCAGTGCAAAAAAAAAATATTGATCAAAAAGCCAGATTTATGCAACACCTTTCAAGTATGTCATGTCTTCATCAGTGATTTGGTAGTCTATCCACAGAGCAGAGGAGGCATTACAATTTTTTTCTTGTATCTCTTTCCAGTCATTCAAAATCTACAGTTTAGCCAAGCTAGATCCCCTGAGCACTCAACATTTTCCAGAAAAAAAGCATTATAACAGATTAATGAATAACAACAGGGACATTGTTGGCCTTTCTTTCTTTTATTCCAACTACCAATGATCTTTTCTACTACCATCACAAGATAAGAGTTCCATTCTCTTTGAACAAACATATAGCAGAAAATAAGATGCTATTATTGCGTGTTCAAACCTTTAGGAAGGGTTTTGTGATGATTAAATATGGTGAAAGAATCACTTGCCTCCTAACAGGTCCTTTCATACTTTGCAAACTGTGGGTGAAACACTGACCTATCTGAAGCCTAATTGCAAATTTATTATTGACTGTAATTACGTTAGATTCCAGCTTCAGTTCATAAGGAGGGTGGGGGGCCCAGGTTGTAGCTGTGACTATTTGTTATTAAATTTTTATTCATGATCCCAAAAAATTTTTAAGCAGGAAAACCAGTAGAATGTATGATTGGTCATAGACATCTGTGAAACAGCATCTGGCATTTGTAATGGGGATTATTCAAATTTGGTTAGACATTCGTGATACAAGTAATCTCTAAATGCCACGTGGTAACTTTCTACTCTTCAAGAGAGAAACTTCTCCAGATGTATAGTAATTGTTTACTTCCTGCAGAATTGCTTTCCTCCTTGCAACATCTTGGCACAAGCTTCTAGAATTTTCTGGTAATGCATTAAAGCTCCAGCCTGCTGGCACCAGAAACTAGATATAAAGACTACCAGGGGCTTAATGATTTGGTTTCTTTTTAACTACTGTCTGGAAAGAAGAGGAAGGTGAAATAATATTTTACAGTAGCAGGACAACAGACATAGAAGCACAACCCCTGTTATGACATGATGCTATTATAGACAGGACTGAGCTGAGGGCATGGGCTCTGCTTACACCACCATACTCATTTAGAAAATGTAGCCCTGCTCTACTCTGCCTGGCTTCAATAAAGCCTTGTGGGAGGACAGGCACGGGAAAGGCAAAATAGCTTTGCCTACATTTCATTCTGTGCCTTCTCTCCACCTTTGGACTGATTTAGAGAGAAATCCATACAATGCAGGAATAATGGGCCTGTCTTTCTGTCCACATAAGAAGGGAAATCACCTTTACTTTTAAAGGTCACAGTGAGCACTTCCCTTTAAATTGTGTGAATGATATTGTTCCACATACGTAAGAAGGTGAAATGAAATGCTAACCTCAGAGAAGTCTTGATTCATTGCCTTTCAGAATCTTACTTTTTAACACTCTATTGAATGCTGTCTTTTTTTTTCTTTATTTTTTTTTTATTATTTTTAATGAGATAACTTCAGAGTCTTGTAGTAAAGATTCTGAAAAGGTGACTTGTAGTGACCATCACTTGATTTGCAATGACTCCTAAAGAAATTTGTGCTCTTGGGAAAAAATCTCCTCTGGAGCAAATACATTCTGAAGCATATAATCTAGTTATACAAGTGTACTGTATCTATCTACCATTCGTTCATCCAAGAAACACATTATCATTATATCCCTGACTAACAACTATAAGCTGTCCTGAAAAAAAAAACAAAAACAACCAAACCCCCCAAACTAAAAAAAAAAAAAAGACCAACCCAAAACCTCTACTTCTTTCCAATTTAGAAAGATACATTCAGTTTCCTTTTACATTAATGAGGGCTGCTTTTTCTGCTTTTCCAGGTAAAACACAGGTTATGGGTGAAATCAAGATTGCATTAAAGAAGGAAATGAAGACAGATGGAGAACAGCTGATAGTAGAAATCCTCCAGTGCAGAAATATCACATACAAATTTAAATCTCCAGATCATCTACCAGGTAACACACATAAACCAGCTTCATGATACTTTGAAAACATTAAATAGGATGTATCTGAAGTCAATTAACATCACCACTAAAATGGGAAAGAAAACTTTTTCTTAACCAGAATGACATATAGGATTCTTTTTGAAGTGCTTTTTTTTCTCCTACGAGCAACTTTAATGAAAGTAAAAACATTTTGTAGAAGCAAATTAACTCTCAGAAGTTAATCCTCTTTTTAATTTACTTTTGATTCTTAAAAATTAATCCATTTTTAACTTTAATAAAAATTATAACTCTCTAGGTTATTAAAGAACAATTATATTTAGTGAAAAATTGTACTTTGGTGAAAAAGCTTTTTAAAAATTAAAAACTCATGTTAATAATAATATTTTCACACATACATAAAGACATCGAGTTATTTGTTCCTTTAATGACAGCATTGTAAACACAAATTAATTCCCTTGGATTTAGTATGATGATTCCATTTCTACACCATGTGAATGAGAACAGAATACGGTTCTGGAAAGTACCATGCTCTGTTTCTTCACAACACTTCCATTGAAATCGTTAGCAACAACGATTATCTAAAAGCTTCTGTATGTAACTTGTTGAACTGTTATTCCCCAGACCTGTATGTGAAGCTGTATGTTGTCAATATCTCTACCCAAAAGAGAGTAATTAAGAAGAAAACCAGGGTATGCAGGCATGACCGAGAGCCTTCATTCAATGAAACGTTTAGATTTAACTTGAGTCCTGCTGGGCATTCTCTTCAGGTAATTCTGCATTTTATTAAAACCTAATTTTGGGTGTTTTCCATGCTGTGCTATGGGCATTTGAGATCAATCTTCTACCCCAGTTGTTTGCTGAAAAGAGAAAATTACAAAGGAAATAGTACAATTACATAATAATGGAAATATCAGGCTGGAGGAGACTTTAAAAGATTTAATCCATCACCCCACACTGAGGAAGGGTGTTTATAGACTGGGCCTGAAAGTTTTAGGCTTGTTCTTAAAATCCCCTAGAGAAGGGTGTTATGCATGTCTTCCAAAAAAGCTTTTCTATGTATTTAGAAAGTATAGTGTAATATGTAAGTTAAATATGCCATATTTTTAAATTAAGTTAGCTCATCCTTAAGTATCCTCACAAAGAACAGAGGAAAACTGATCTGCTTTCTTTTTATAAAAAAGGTTTGCACATTCAAAGTTTATTGTCATATCTCTCCTCTCTATTTTTCCAGGCTAAGTAAACCAAATTTCTTTGATATGTCCTGTAGCTTAAATGTCTAATCATTTTACCATTCTCTTCAGTTCTTCAACTTCTTTAAAAGTTGTGGTGCCTCAAATTAGAAACAATAGTAATAACCTCAGACATTGCAGAATTACTGATTATGCCAAGTCAAATATTCTCTGTGTACATTTGTAAAGGAGATGATGGTATTTTCAGTCTTTGGCACGTCAAATGATGTGTGGAACTGATTCAGGAATAGTCCCTTTTCTGTGTTTTAGTTGCTTAGACAGATATGATCATTTGGTCAGATTTGCTTTTTTAGATGGGTACGATTCACTTTACCTACCTTCATTTACTTTCACATGAGTAGATAACTAACCTAAGCCATAGTCAGTCTTCCTCTAGTCGGTGGAAATAGATGAACAATTCCAGGGGTATCTACATGCTAATCTTAAGAGTAAGTGGGAGGAACTGTTGGGCATACCAGCATCCACTTAATGTACCTTTAAATCTGGAAGACCAACATAAACAAGCCAGCTAAATTTTGATGACTAAAGTTAGACTGGATTATTTAAGTGACTATGTTAGGCTTATTGGTTGTATCATTAAAATTAAAGCCAAAATGGATGTTGCTTACAAAACAAGGCCAAAAAAATAGATACTGTTTTTCCTGTGTTAAGGTGTCCCAACTTCCTTATTGATTCAATAGATTCGGTAAGACTATTTAAGGTATTATATTACCCAGGAAAATCCAGAGTGGTCAATTAAGTCTTACTAAAGTTTAAGAGCTAAAATTCCTGTGAAAACTTTACTTTCAGTGGTGGTTTGAAGAGGAAACCTTAAGGGGTGAGTAGATGAGTAAAGAAGAACCCACAGAGTCCTATGGAAAAATAAGCCATCAAGTTGTTTAGGAAGGAGATAGTGAGGGAGGTAGACATAGGAACAGTCAGCCTGAAACTTGGCAACAACTCCTCAGAAACTGTGATATGTACTGGTGCTACACACTAGACCTAAGAGAATGAAGGCTGTAAAAGTAGCAAGGAACAAGTTTAAAACAAAACTAAGTGGTTTTTATTCACACAACTTGGAGTTGGAGGTGCAAAATTTATTGCAGTAATATATGTGGATGCTAAATATTTTCATGGAAAAAGTAACTGAAGAAAATGATTGGACAAATTCATGGGCAGAATCCCTCATAGTCTGTTAAATATAAACATAACACTTGTGAGTCAGGAAGTCAATCGTCCACAGATGATAGCAGGTATTTTGGGAAAGTACCACTACCTGACTGTCCCATTCTTATATTCTGCCTTATACACTGCCCTATACACTTTCAGAAACAGAGTATTTGCCTGGAGAGATCTTTAATCTGACTCACTGCATCTGTTTTTATATGCTCTTCATACTTATCAGTCAATTTGTTCCTATGGCAAAGCATGAAGCTGGCTGATTTGAATGCTCAATTTGAGTGATGAACATTTAGGGGCAAAGAGATGGACATTGTCAAAAGAGATTTGAGGGTGAGGGAAATGAAACAAAACCAGAAGGTACAGAACAAAAATGGAACTGGGAGATTAAGGGAGGAAATAAGATCAGAGAGAGGGCGTAAATTGAGATCAAACATGGTAATCAAAGAAGGCACACTGTAAAGATACACGAGAACCACCTGGAGGCAGAAGTTAGGACAAGGGTCTGCACTCTATATATGTATCTATATATAGCCATAAAAATAGGACCATGGGTTATATTGAGAAAAAAAGAAAAAACAAAGAAGAGAGAAGAAAAGAAAAGCTAGAATCACCCAGTCAAGGCTATTGGGAATAAGGAAAAAACCTGCTGAAGATTAGAAATTAAGACTAGCTGATTCAGGATAACAAGTCTGGTATTTAAAGCCTGGAGCAGGGAATAAACAAGGCTGAAAGACAGACAAGCTAGAGAAAACAGGTGCTACGGATCCAGCTGGGAGGAGTGTAGAAAAGGATCAAGGACAGAAGTGATGAAAAATTTGTTTGAAATTTTTTCTGTCCCAAAACTGTTGATGTGTCAGAATGAAAACATTCTGCAGAAAACATTTTGACAGGTTTCAGATAGGCACTTGCTTCAGCCCCTGACAGCTTGCTTGCTCGCTTCCCTGATTTCCCTGCTCCTTGGTAACCCACCTGGGACCCTTCTGGAAAGCACTAAGGTCCTGGCTCCTTTGCCTTGTTCCCTGGCTGGCTCCTGGCTGACTGGCTTGCTGCAATTAGAAATGCATAATGTCCTATGTGGGGGTAATCAGAAAAATGAATGTTTTTCACTGATGTTCTGGTTTGGCTTGCCACGTTCTGGGCTGCCCATTCCTTCCGGAAACACTGAAACAAGTGACCTAGAAAACCACCAGCAGTGGAGGCAGGCTGCCTATTTCCCCCAAGGATGGGCTTTCTGATGAGTGAAGTAAAGTGGAGTTCTCTAATAGCTCAGTGCCTAACAGTCATTTGGTCTTCCCTCCTCAAACCTATTGACTAATGGACATGTAGGTGTCTAAGCTGTCTGGGGACACACCATTCTTGCCAATTAACATCAAAATTGGCCAGGGAACTGGGAAGACTCATCCACAAAAATTATTGTAAATTCCATCCCTTTTTTTTTTCTTTTTTTTTTTTTAATTTCCATTTTAATGTAAAGTTTGCATTTTTTACTTTGTTTCCCAAACCAGAATGGAAAATTTTCAAAAATATTGAAGTTCTTTATTACTGGAAACTCTAGTTCTTCTACAGTTCTGTTACATGTCTACTACCATATGGTCTCTTCCAGCATCTCGGTGGAGTACAAAATCCTTGAGTTCTGCCATTCTTCTGTTAGCCTAGATCTTTGAAACCAAGCAACAAAATGTCCTATTTTCTCTCTTGCTGGTTCACACGCAGGGTGACAGCCTCCTACTGTTATCAGTTACTTCCCTTACTCATTGCCAGTGGTCTGCTCAGTGACTGTGAATATTACAAACCTGCTGCTAATCCTATCATGGAAAAGCAATTTTTCATGAGTTCTTTTTCTTTTTGAAAAACTTCAGAAGTTGATTTAAAAAAAAAGCACTGTGCTTGTTAATTCCGTTAGTCAATAATTAAGAAATACTAAAATTTATCTTAATGTGTAGCTATGAATCACTCCCTTGAGTATATACACTTTCAAATTTATTTCTCCCACGTAGAATGAACCCATAGATCCACAGAATTAATCAAGTCCTTCAGAGAAGTCTATTGCTCGCATGACATGAACCTGTTTACCTGAAAAACATGTGCCTATATGATATATATCATGGAGTGACTTGAACACCCAGCCTGCATAGCTCACATAAGTGCTGGGGCGATTCCCTGTCCTTCCCACTCTCCATGGCTGGGCAAGCAAGAGCCATAAGACCAGACACAATGGCTCTCGGCAGAGACACAGCGGGAGTGAGATTTCAGTCTAACTCTACATTTTAGGTTAGACTACCGCTTGCTGAGGTCAGAAACAGAACTCTGGACTTTCTCAGACACTAGCCTGCTCTGAGTTACAGCCCTCTGACTTCCACGTGCTTAGAAAGTGCTGGTACTTCACCTGCATAAAGCTTTACCCTGTAACTTAAAACTTGACCTTGTGTTTGTCTTTGGTAACCAGCAGGTGAACAAATTGCTCACTAAAGTTCAAGTTTGTCATCTTCTAGTTGCTATGTCCCATGATAATAAAATAGAAGAGAGGGACGGTTCAATTTTCACTAGGCTTGCTTTCTACTGAGAGGGTGACTTTATATAAAGGCTTATGGTCACCATTTCTTTTCTCTCCTGTGTGTACCAAATCAGAGCTCGACATTTCTGAATCTTTCATGTTTGCTAGCAAATGCAGTATGTCAATATGCACATTGATAATCATTTTTTATTATTATTATTTTCCCAGATTCTACTTGTCTCCAATGGAGGGAAGTTTATGAAAAAGACGCTGATTGGGGAAGCTTATATCTGGCTTGACAAAGTGGATCTAAGGAAAAGAATAGTAAACTGGCACAAACTGTTGGTCAGCTCCACACAAACACACTGAGCAGAGCTGTCTGCTTAGGGCACAAAACCTGCAGAGTCTGCTATTAACAGCATCACTCCAAGACTATAGTTTGATATCATTGTGTTTAGCTAGTCTTTCAGAATACAAAGTAGAAAAGAGCAGTCTCGGGGCTACATAGCACACTTAAATGAGGGCTAGTACACTTGTTTTGCTGCACAAGACAGCAAAGTAAAAGAAAACCTGGGCCCAGAAGTTAAAGTGAGGCTGTTTGAAATGAAGACTGATACGAGGGCCGCATGTTGTTGGACTCTTTGTGAAGAGAGTACCTGTGAAGGAAATAATGAAGGCTGGAAGGCAGGTGTCAATGCAGAGTTCGGCTGCAGCTGGAGGTAGAGTGATGGAAAGAGCAGCCTGGTTTCCCGTGCAGCCAGAAGGTGATCATTTTATGCAAAAGCACCTAGGGTGATTGACTTTCCAAATCTCACTTATCAGAAGTGCAAAACTTGTTCTTCTGCACGTTAGGATCTCTGATAATTTGCTGTAGTGAGATTACGCCACTTGACACAAACTGCAAGGCGTTTGCAAGAGTGGTAATGTTATTTTACATTACTTTGTTCCTTCTTTCTTTTTCCTTCAAAAAATATGCCATGGAGAATCAGATCTGATTGTTTCATTTGTTTCTGTATGTTAGCAATGAATATAAACCACTGTCCTAGAATGTAATGGAAAAAACTATATTAATGGTCTATAATTTGGGATGTGGTTTTAAAGAGAAAGGACAAGATGTAAACTAAACTACATCAGGAAAAAAAAACGCTATTTTGATCTCAGTGACACTGTACTTCACCCTACTCTTTGAATCAGCAGTTTTAAAAAAGTTTGTAATTGAAGAGACTTAAGCAGTGGGACTAACACAATTATTTCAACTAGTCCTTCCATTCTTCAGCAACCAACCTTATTCTGAAATTGTACAGAGACAATGAATTCTAGGCTATTTTGTAGGCACTGTGGAGCAGTAGACCCCCCGCGCTAACACCAACCCATTCGGTGCAGGGCTCTGTATCAATACCAGTGACACACTTGAAATCTAAGGGGAAGGAATAACAAGGCAGTTACTGCCTGGATGCTGTCACATTAGAGAGAATTAAGAATATCCTTTTGCTATCTCAGGTGAATGTATGAGTATAAACCACTCAACAGCATGGCTTCTCAGTTAGGAAAGAAGTAAATAGGAAGGTAACTTGCAATGTGTAAGACTGTGTCAGCATTTCCATGCTTGAAGTCCTACTTTCAGAGGCTTGAAGCTGAGCAGTTAGCTCACTTGGGAAGAAACTAATGCTGAGAATGGCTTAGGCTAGTTGTTGTATTTTCCCTTGTACCATTTTTGAAGAAGAAGGGAGAGCTTTTTCTCCCATTCCTAAAATTATATGTTTCTTTAAAAAACAAGAATCAATATGGTACTAGCTCCCATGTTTCTCAGAAGTGGTTTAATATTTCACAGCTTCATTAAAAAGTATTTTCCCTGGAAATATTACCTCATGACCTTAGCATATTTAAAAAGAAAATTACTAAACTTTTGCACTTCAGACGTTTATTTTTCTTGCCCAATAAGGACATTTCACAAATTATTTGATGTACGTCTTCTTATATTTTCTGAATATATGTAGTACACTTCCACAGGGTGTGTGAGACCAACTGAAAATATTATTGTTCTGGAAAATAACATACACTTTAAAAAAAGGAAGAATAAGGCTCAGTTTATTCAGAAGCTGGACTGACTGCGAAAAAGCTACACCATTTAATCTGGTGACACTTGCCACATACAGTTTTTGATTTATCTTTGTCAACTTAAAATAACAACATGGAAAAGGAATAGGAGAAGAAATACACAGAAGGTATTAATGATACACACACCAAGGAAACTCCTGTTAAGTTATCGATAACCTGCTGGTAGCCTGCTTAACTTGCAAGCAGAGCAATCTTACCAAAATCTTACTAGCTATCTTAAAAACACAACATCACTGACAGTGGAAGTAGGATGTGTGCTTTAATGTTGAATTTTATGCTTTGACCAGTATATGTATACCCTACCTCTCATATATTTTAAAAATAGTCCTCTGGAGTTATTGTAAACATCCTATATGTTTTGATGTTGTGTATGTTTTTATAACAAGTTAAATACTTCAAAGGAAATATTCCCAGTCAAACCAAAAAATCCTATGTGGATATATTTGACGTATGTGTTGCTCTTTTGGTGGGTTATTTTGCATTTCTGATGGCTATAGTGAGTTCTTTCTTTGAAAAAAGACCAAAAAAAAAAAAAAAAAAAAATCCAGTTTCAATTACTGTGTGAAGTACAAGCCATGAGGTGTGCAATTTTGTGTGAACTGCTGGTAATTTTGTTCTTGTTAAGATTTATAATAAAGACAGCAAGTCACGCTGGTAGTTGCTATGGAGATTTCCAGCAGGAACAAGCACTATCTGGCTGCCTTACTGGGAAGCCTGTAATCATCACTCTTAATTGAGAAAGTGGATAGGAGTGCTTTGCTTTCACACACATACAAATGCGGCCAATATTTTTATTAAACAGTTGTGTTGGGTGGTATAGCTGCAGCTGTATGGAACAGCTACCTTTGCAGGGTAATCAGCTGTCAGCAACTGATTTATTTCAAGCATCTTTGATTCTCTGAACAACACACAAAATGTTTCTGCATGTTGAAATGGCAGTTTTGAACTCCTATGATGAAACGCAGAGTAGAGTTTGTCAGGAATGCGGCACTGCCTTGGCCAGCTGCAGCAAGGACAGAGCTCCTTTGGTGCCACCCGGGATGGGCTAGTGACAGATCTGGGCCCACACACTCCCTCTTTTCTGAGGCAGCATCATTTGGAGGTCAGAGGATGCTTCCAAAGTGTGCCAAGTCCCTTTTTTTGACCAAATTTCTAGGTTGTACTGGAATCACTCTATGCAACACAGATTCATGTTTGAATGCATTTATTTCTTTTTTTTTTTTTTGTTCTATGAATGAAGTCAGGAAAAACTCTCTTGTGACAATGTTTTTTAAAAAATAATCAAACAAGGACTATTAGTATTTTTTTACTTTTTTGTATATATCTCAGTATATTTTTTTCACTTTTTTCTCATTAATTTTTGTTTCTTTTATCTGGCCAAAAGTGCTTAGATGTGGCAACAGCTTTTATCATTTCTGAGTGATTGATTATTAAGGAGTTCACACATTTATATGATTGCTTTGAAGACACATATTGCAGAGAGGCAATAGCAGAGGCATTTTAATTATTTTTATTCATAAACCTGCTGAGTCAACAGAGATTGAAGCTGCTTTGTTCAAGGCCTTGTATAGTGGAAACAAGCTGAAAAATGAGCAAAAGCACAGTGTGTGTGTTTACAAATGACAGGGATTTCTAATGTTATCATTATTATTATTATGCATACAATGAGCAGCAAACAGTCACATTTTTTTTCTAGGTTAAAGCTAGACATGAGAGTTTCTATGATGAATGTTGAGCTAGTTCTTTATCATTACGCTTTAAAGGGATAGTATCCAGGGGCAATGAGTGCTGCTTCTTTATTATTACCCATGTTTTTACATTACATGGATCCCAGTGGAAGAAAAAAAAATTAATCCGAACCAGTTGAGGTCAACAACAACCAATCTCTTGACTTAAACTGGCTTTAAATTAAGACCTACAAAATATTTGAGTTATTTTTCTGGATCCTGGATGTTTGCATGGTTAGGTTGTGGGATACGGTAGCTGGTAACCAGCTGATATTGATTCTTACTTTGAGGATGATGATGAAGAAAAAGAAGACATCTATTATATTGTAAGCTAGTGTGTGCCCAATAGAGATTATTTAATCAGGATTTAGTTTCATGGAGATATCATAAAGATGTTAATAGTATTTTTTTAAATTATTATTTGAATCATAACTGACACTATTTTGAAGTACTTTATTTTCATTGCTACAATGTTGAATGTCCCAGATTTCATTATTTAAGTATATATCTAGATATGTACATACCTATGTGAATAACAGAGAAAATTTGCATTTGTGTGAGTGTAACTTATAAAGGTAATGCAACAGAGAGGAAATTTAGTGTAAGTATCCACCTACATTATATTTAAACCCTAGTCCTACACGCCTTGTGAATTTTCAGTACACCTGGCATGTAAGACCAATTGCTCTTTATGATACATGTTGCCTTTTGAAGGAAAACAGAAGGAATACGTGAAACCGGATACTCTCTCTTTAAATCATAAGAAGCATTTTAATGTTTTCTATATGTTCAGTTTTATTATTTTGAAAAGATTAATAAGCAAATATATTGATGAGCTCAAAAGTTATAATATATATAGATATCCATAACTCAAAATAGATGATTTCAGCAAAAGCTGTTTTCTTAATTTGTTACCCTGTAAATAAGTATACATTTTTGTAAAACAAACTGAGTTTAAATTATTGACTCCATCTGACATCCAAGCATGTGAATGTGTCCTTATTTGATTGTATCTTATAGATGTTCAGTGATGTGCTCAGGTGCTCAACAATGGCTGACTAGCGTGTGTGCTGTCATGCTATGGACAACGTGTACAGCATACCCAATGTTTAAAAAAATCCAAAACCACACAAAAAAAACCCACAAAAAAAGATTAGTCCTTGGAGAAATGTAATGTTTCCACAGTGAATGTTGCATGCATAGATGGTGGTTTGTTGATATTCATTTTGGCTTGAATTTCTTTTAATTTTCATTTTGCTTCCAGATTCATCAAGAAAAATAATACAGACTTGTTCTAAAGGTTGTAAAAACTGAAAAAAAAGCGGTATGAGAATTGTATAAAATTGCTTGTAAATCTGTCTCAGTTTTCACTTTATGTATAAATCCATGTCATGGTTTTGTGATTGTATACAGGATGTATCTTGAGAACTTATGCAAATTGTGCTGTATAAAGGCTGTTATCCCAGTCTGACAAATAAATATTTAAAATACCTGCTTTGGTTTCTTTTCACTAATTAACACAAAAATCTATTTTGCTGGTTCAGAGTTCCCATTTGTTGACCACAGTGGTTTTATTGTGATACACTATACACTCCGCCCATATTCATCTGTCCTATTTTGGCATTAGTACACCTCCCAGGCTATCACTAATGTCCCATGTTTAATTTTGAAATAAGGAATGGTTAGTTCACCAAAACTTTTCTTCAAACAAGTCAGAACCAGAATCCAGGCACAGCTTGTTGATATCTTCACACAGATTCATCTCTGGAAGCCTACATAGACAACAAATAAATGTGCACA